AGGATATTTAGGCCTCAGATCCCTTTGAAAAAGAATCTGGAAGGAGGCATCCAAAAAGAAGAATTGATTGTGATCAGGAGGAGCATGATATCTAATATTATACTTTATATTCAGGATATATCCAATCACATGTCCTAAGGCGATGTTTTACTTTTTCTTAGTGACTGGGAGTTGAATGGAAGTGAGGTTTTGGATGTAGTTAGTTAGCATTTGAGCTTCATCCATTTGGGTATTTGACATGATGAAATAGGTGACAATTGATAGTAGGGGAGTCATACTTATATAGTCTCCAGCTTTAGGTATGATTGAACTTCTCAAAACATGCTGAATAATCTTGGCATTTTGGTTAAGTGTCTCAACCAAAGGTTGGTGATAATTAAGGGAAGCAATTCCTAGCGTAAGGTTCACAATACTCTAGTCAAAATTAGATCTTAAGGCCATGTCAAGGGTTCTATTTCCTTCGGTGTTTAGCTGATTATGAATTCCTATGTTCTCATATGTGATTTCTACAATCTGACAACACACTCGGGAAGACATAACCATAACATCCCCACTAATCTTAAGGTTTGAGATTAAAGTGTAGTAGTGTTGAAGAGATTCATTATTGGGAAGTTAAGGGCCTGCTAATTAAGAAGACTGGAAGGCATGATCTTTTCTTCTTTATATTTTCTATAGGCAGTTTCATTAGAACCTGTCAGAAAATGATCAGCTATAGTGTTCTGAGAAGATGAAGCCCCTAGGTTTGTCGACTGCATTTTCCACCAGCCATTGCAAATATTAGAATGCAAGAAGACAAGATTTGAAGATTAGTGTGAAAATTTGAATAAGATTGGCTGTTTAAATAGAAGTTAAATGGATCGTTCCGGTTAATCATGGGATCATATGGGATGATTGAGTGCAATCAATTTGGCCAGACAAGTTGTCAAAAATATATGTATGATCGCATAGTACGATCAGAGTTCATACGGGATAATTAGAGACATGGATCTCATCCCGAGGAGATAGCCTGTATGACCTTTGACAAAAAAATTCATACAGTACGAATGGGTTTTTGTACAGTACGATCAATAATAAATGTTGTACAAACTAAAATTAATCATCTAGATTGCTACGTGTATCGTACATTACGAATTTTGTTCGTACCATATGATTGTAAATCATTGATGCAATCTGGACCATCCATTGAGCCAATGGTTAAGAAGAAAGTGGTGCTGTGCATATTGTATAATATGATTGTAGTTCATATAGTACGATATCAGATGAAATTTTCAATTTTGCAAGATAAGATAGTGAAGTGGATTATGTTGTGATCAGGACACAAACATTCAATAAAAGACTAAATACAAGAACAAAACTAAAACAAAAAATAAGTTAAGGACTAAACAAACAAAATAAAATCAAAAAAATTACATGACAACACAAACACAGAAACTAAAAAAATGTAAACAGAAACAAGCACAACAAAAATAAACAAAACATATATGTTGAGAAGCTCATGAATGGTTGATATCAAGTGATAGGATATAAATATTTAGCCTAAAAACCACATGCTCCCACTGAGTTTTTTTATGAGAGCCTTGAAATCCAAAGATTATAGAAGAATATTTTTGGGAGCCCAAATGAGTTTGGGTCCCTTCTTGAATTTCAATAAATCATCAAAATTTATGTCATGCTGTATTTGATGCAGCTTTGATCTCCACACTAAGTGTGTTCTATAATGAATAGTGCAAGGTAGCTAATGTATCCTAACATGCTACATTTTTTTTAGCAGGGGTGCACAGGCTCATGAAATAGTGCAATGCATGAGCGATGCCTAAGAACCCCTGTAGCAAGCCACTATGATGAGCTCTTCCCAAACAAAATTAATTTCATATCATAGTGGACCGATGGCCCACATATCAGATATTAAACTGATAAGAATATATACTACACTTGATCTTAGCCAAAAGGGTTAACTAACCTATGATATTTATGATTCCTATTTCTAGGTTTATGAGATGCATGACATGGTGAGTGCTTACAAACAGGTATATTTTGAAAAGCCTTTACTTTTTCTTAAAACATTTTATTAGCACTTTCAAGAGCCTTAAAGCAATGATGGTTTTGAGTCTTAAAGAATCGATTTTATAGAATGTGTTACAAAGAGGGATAGATCTATAATTAAAGATGTTGCTGGTATTTTGGCTCCATTGCTTAGCATATAGTATGTATGTGTATATAAAATCATCAAATATATGTCATGCTGTATTTGATGCAGCTTTTGTCTCTACACCAAGTGTGCTCTACAATGAATAGTGCAAGTGTGGCTAATGTGTCCTAACATGCCACATTTTTTTTAGCAGGGGTGCGCCAGGCTCACGAAATAGTGCAATGCATGAGCCCTAAGAGCCCGAGTAGCAAGCTACTCACTATGATTAGCTCTTCCCCAACAAAATTAATTTAATATCATAGTGGACCGATGGCCCACATATCAGATATTAAACTGATAAGAATATATACTACACTTGATCTTAGCCAAAAGGGTTAACTAACCTATGATATTTATGATTCCTATTTCTAGATTTATGAGATGCATGACATGGTGAGTGCTTACAAACAGGTATATTTTGAAAAGCCTTTACTTTTTCTTAAATCTTTTTATTAGCACTTTCAAAATCCTTAAAGCAATGATGTTTTTGAGTCTTAAAGCAATGATTTTATAGAATGTGTTACAAAGAGGGATAGATCTATAATTAAGAGAGAGAGAGAGAGAGAGAGAGAGAGAGAGAGAGAGTTCAATCTAGTGAACCATCCAATAGAAACAATTTTGACCAAATGAATAAAAGAAACTCATAGATGACAACAATCACAACTTCATTAAATTAAGAGGAGTAAATGTGCAACAATCACTATTATTGGATGATTGTTGAGAACTACATAAAGATTAGAGAAAGGTCAAGGTAGTGGTTAAGATATAATGATAGGATGATTAACACTTTCTTTTTTATGCAAGTTTATTCAAGAGTTAGGCACTTTTTTTTTTCAACTTACCCAATTTTTCCTATGCCTACTTCAAAGCCTGAAGCTATTTTCCACATCACATGATCTGGTGCCCAATAGGGAGAACCTAATAACTAGTAAAACATGTTAACATTGAGGAAATTAAAAATAAATAAATGTACCTAATACGACATTTCCATGTCATCTTAATGGTTTCGTCCACGTTTCCCATATCAAAACTTGCACAACATTGCCTGACTTGTTCTATATGATAGGACAAGACAGATAAAAACATATGTACGATATCTTTCATGCTTTTGTAGCCATTAATTTTTTAAGATTTTATTTGTTTCATCAAAATTTTAAATACAATCAAACTGATAATAAATATATCAATTTTCAAAATTCGGGTTGTCATTAATAGAGTCAATTGATAAAAATAGTTTATCCTAAATCTACAAAAATCTTTTTTTAATGTATAAATTCAATATAAAATACTAAAAAAAACAACATAAAGCATTTATCTCAGTATATAGGGTCAACTATATAAATCATTTTTCTCAATTTGTTATTTTATGAGTCAAATTCTCATTTAAATCTAATAAAAAATATCATTTCTAAAATTTTCTACTATTTTTTTCTTAGATCTGCCTCTACAAATCTAATACATCTACTCTTCTAACTAATTCATCGGAAGGTCAACATTATATGTGTGACCAAACCATCGATTTTAGATCTACTGAAACAAAAATCTTTAGATTCTAAATTAACCTTCATAATTTAAGTTACTTTTAGCTACTTCTGGAGTCTTATCAACAAGAAGAATATCATCAACAACCAAAAAAAATATACACACACTACATCCTCTTACAAATATCTAGTAATAATATCCCCGACTAAAGCAACATGATATTTGCTTTGCTTAAGGCTTATCAATAAAAAAATACTCCGCACAAAAATATACATAAGTTCTAAGATAAGTCGTAATTTAACTCTGATACTCATAATATTTTTACCCAAAATATCTCAACTTTCACACATAGTAAGCATGAAGAATTACATTATTATAATAAGTCCAAAAAAAAACCCTACCAAATGGTTTGAATAACATAACCAACAAACAATATTTATTTTTATTCATTAAAATGTTAAATGTCTAAGGCCCTAAGCACAATATTCAAAGATTCATACCCTTGCTCAAGCCTATGACCTCTAATGGAAGGCTAGACTAAGGCCCAAGATGGGACAATTTAACCATTTTGAGAAAATGAAGCATGAAAGAACCATATTTTTAAATGAAATTTAAAATACATGAATGAGAATCTAATCATGGAAATAAAAAAAAAAAAGAATTGAATAATTGAAATTTTATCAATGACATAGCACAATTTTTAAATTATTTTTTGAAATAGCTTTCTAATATAAAATTTATAATTAAAAGCAAACATACCATTTCATGCTATTTACATATCTAACATTCAAAACATTAATATTACATGGCTACCACCCAAAGAACAAATTTAAGTGCATGAAATGAAATATTAAAGTTTATAAGATGGTATGAATGATAGAAATGAATTATACGAGTGATATATATGATATTAAAGTTGTATATGGATGATAGACATGTAACATTAATATTTTAGATATTAGATGTGTAAATAGCAAGAAATAAAATGGTATGTATGTAAATTTCTCAAAATTATTATAAAAAATAAAAATAAATTATCGCAAACGAAATATATGATGATAAATATTAGAAGACAAATAACCTTAATGTTTAACAAATGTCTAAGCACAAGAAATTGGTAAGGCGAGGTGCACAAATCAAATTAAATACATGAAATCATGATTGGACACCAAATCTTTGAAATACAAAGTTGAAGGGAAGAAGAAAAAAAAAATCAAATTATTATTGTAGCAAAAGTATAATATCAACGATTCATTAGCTGGAATGAAGCAATAGTTGAGGGTCAGTTACTTTCCTGAATATGCATTTGAATTGATCATCTAAGAATCAATGCCGCAAAAGAAAAACGCTAACTCTGCTCGTTATTTTACACAGATTTTCTGAGCTTTTACTCCAACGCAGAATTGCAACATTCAGAAAATTCCGAAAAGGGTAGCTGCAGCGAAAATTAGGAAAAGCAGTCCACCAATGTAGCCAACCTAATTCATAACAGATTTCTTCGGTTAATTAAAATATATATATATATATATATACATATCGAAAAAATAAATCGAAGTCCAATTACAGATTGAGGGTTTCTGTAGTTCTACCAATTTTTCTGAAATGTAGTTGGCCAGAAAAGCTCCACCTAATATAGCAAAAGATGTTGCAAACAGGTGCCCGGCGATTGCTCCACAGGCAACACCCCAAGCAGACTACAGTGAATATTAAAATATCAAGATAATCTTTTTTAGATAATAGCACAGAAAAATGACCAAAATTACAAACAGATACATTAACAGGGCGGATCCAGCCTTATTTTTCAGGGGGTTAAACTTATAAGTAAAAGTGTAGAGTTTTTTTTTTTTCATAAATATCCTTACAATCAAAATTTTTTCTGAAGGCGCTGTTTCTCGACCCCTATTTGTTCATCGTTGTACTCTTCTCAGATATGTTGGGGGTCCAAATGGACAGCGCCCCCTAGAGGGAAGCGTCCCAGGAATAAATTTTGATTGTAAGGATATTTTTTTATTCCCTTTACTATTTCTCTTTGTATTTGGTTCATCATTCCCTGACAATAACATCTCTACACAATGTGTTTAATTATGTTGGGGCAATTGCCTGAAGACCATAGTATTTTAAAACTTTTAGGTGGGGTAATTGCCTAAAAACCTTAGTAATAAAGACTAAAAAATACATGGAGAGGGACAAATTACATAAAGATTTTTTTTTAGTTTATCCGCGCGGGGGGCAATGGGCTTAAGGTGAATCCGCCCATGGATACATAACTCTTTATACCTGTGCAGCTCCCAAGGCAATAGTTGCCAGCATTGAGCGATCACCCCATTCCAACAAAAATGTATAATATGCCCATGGATATTTAGTTAATAAACATAAGTTAATAAAAAATAGCTCAAGTGACATTCCCATTAGACTTTATAGAGAAGGTGAGGTGAGGGTCTTTAATACTCCAAAAAGAGAAAACAACATCTACAAACTGACCAGCTTCAAGTGAGAATTTTATCCTATCTTCGGTTGTATTAGTGATTCACCTATCATGCTATTTGTAAGTGTAATATTCCAATGTAGCACTTAAATAAGCTGCTATTAAAATGATATAAAACTGGGCAAGTTATGACTTACCGCAAAGAAAACATGGCTGAAAGACTTCCAAATGATCTCAAGAGGACTTCTGAGATTTTTAGATGCCTGAAAAAAAAAAAAAATTCAAATAGGCCAGTTTACTACTATATTATTACAACCAACAAAACATGAAGTGCTCAGAATTTTTGAAATTATGATATTGTATGGGAGTAATGCTAAACTAAGCTTTCTTTTTCTCTGTCTAGATCTATCTTTTAATGCTATGGAATCAAGATTTTTTTTGCGTGTAAGTTGGGAAATATAACATTCTTCATTGTATAATGCCACTATATAGATATACAAAAATGCAAAAACAATCACTAATCAGATATCTGCTTAGCATCATCATTTAAATATAATAACTCATTTGATGTGACTGTTTCTAGGAAAAAAATCATACACTGGGAAGAAAATGGGTTTAAATCTGAATTCGCAAGGAAAATCATCAATGTATCCGATTAAATGAGAGGCATTAATGATGTGCTAGAATACAAAATTTGCAGCATTAAAACATTGAATTGTTGAGAAATGAAAAAAAAAATAATTGAAAAGATTCATATGTGTTTGTTATGTTAAATACTCTTGAATATAGATGCATGACCATAAATATGTTTAAAATTGTTTCATGGAGTTATAAAGACACTTGGTTGGATCCATCCAAATGAAATGCCCTCTTATTACAACCTCAAAAAAACCCTTATGAAATATAAATTAAGCACAAAAAAGCGTTACATTAGGAAGTTGATATTCAAACCCCGGAGTTGTAGTTAAATTGCCTCAAGTGTATTCTGGAAGTTAGTTCAATTCATGGAAATAGCCTCTATAAATATATATAGGTGAAGCTACATTCAACCACGCCTCTCCAGATCTTGCACTTGTGAGAACTCTATGCATTGCGCATGCCCCCACTGGGATACAAACAAAATTACAAAATAATGCAAAAAAACTTTTTTGATTTTTCTAAGAAACAATCAATTGGTATGGTCTTTATAAAATAATAAAAAATAAACAAAAAAAAGGGCAAGCTCAACACATCAAGCAAATAACTATTCATCTCCCCTAATATGAGATGATCAAAATCAATCCTGGCTTCTCCCATAGCTCCCTAACAACACCAGATTAGTCCACATTCTCATCCATGAAATCGCATTTGGTTTCCCCATCCACATTTAAATTATTGAATTTTGAACTAATCATACTGTACGATCACATCATACTATATGAATATTTGAATACTTGCTAAAATTAACCCCGATGATTAGTCAATTAAATCAAGGCTCAATTAATGATTGGTGATCATACTGTACGACCAAGTTCATACCGCACGATGAACTGATGCTATTTTTCATTGTCCCAAAGATTATACTGGATGATCCTTTAATTTTTGAACTAATAATACTAGATAATGTACACATCATACCAGACTACCTGAGGATTTTAACTAATCGTATTGTACGAGTTGGATCATATTAGATGATGAACATATATGAATTTTTGTCATCCTAGCATTCATCCTGTACAAACAAAAGAAATAAAGCATATCATACTGGATAATATTTATATCGTACTGTATGATGTATTTGAAAATTATTGCCTGTTCGTACTCCTTCATACCAGGATGAAATCTTTTTTTAATTGATTATACTATACGATCTATGATAATATTGTATGAACACAAACGACTAAATTGAAAATCTTAGGATTTCTTGGAGCCTAATATTTAAGTAATGCTTTTGTTTTTTTTGAAAAAAGAGAGAGGAACATGACAAAAGGAAGTGAACTCTTGAGAGGGGCTTCTTGAAGGGATTTATTGCTTGTGAGAAGAAGGAGAATGTGAGTTTATGAGCGAGAAGGAGTGTGAGTGGATCACACGGTTGCTCCAAGCCTGCTGCATGATTGCTCCTCTTGTGGCCCGGGTAAATCTTTTGGGATCTCTCTAGGGGAGAGAAGTCAAGGTCAACGTCCTCAAAGATCCTCTACTTTCTCAAGGAGGAAGAAAAATGAGAAGGTCTGTTGTCATTAGTGGGAGGGTGACATAGCATTTGGTACTCTGCCACACAAGGGAATGTGAAAGTGAGTTTGTGTAAAAGCTTCTACGCCTTGCTGTGGGGGCAGAAGGAGAATTAGTTTTGAGTAGTGCAATTCTCAAAGTGGAGGACTCCAGGGAGTGGATGTAGATCGAGTGACCAAACCACTATAATTCTTCTAGTTTGCTTTTTTCCATTTATCGTATTTTATTTTGTTTTTTGCATTTTATAATTGCTATAATTTCTTGGTGATAATATTATTTTAGAACTTTATTGTGTGATTTAAAATTTCATCACCGCTATTGCAATCTTATTTTAATCACTAGCTTCGACTTCAAGTTAAGTTATTTTTTGAAAATTAGAACTCCTGTTTAGGCTTTGTTCTTTATTTTAAAAAATACCAATTCACCCCCCCCCTCTTATCGCATTTCGTACTTTCAAAATACACATCAAACACTTTTTTTAAGAATCGATTAAATGTAACAAATGAAAGATTTATCTTATAATAAGATAAAAACCTCAGTAAGAAATATATTGACAACACGCAAACCCATAAAGGTTAAAAATTTGAATTCTTTTAACACTAGCTCAAGCTCCTTATAGGTTAAAGTCTTTTTAAACAAAAATCTAATTAAAAATTTAAATTAGAGAGGAAATGAAATTTTTTCAAACTTCTATTCAGAAATACACTTAAGAGAATATCACTGCAAAGTGATGAATCTTGAATCATGAATTTTAGATTAAAGTGTAGATGATATCAATTGGGTCATATATTCTTCTAAGATTTAAAGTTTTGAAAGAAAGGAAAGCTAATTCGTTATGAGCTCATTTTGTAGCTCTTAATAAATTTTTGTTGCACTTTGTGCATTGTTGGTGGAATTTTGAAAATAGGTTTTGAAAAATATTAGTTTTCTTTGGGAATTTTAAAATTGAGATTGAATCATAATTTTAGAAGTCGAATCAACTCGTTCGGAAGAGTATATCACCCTGAAGGATGAAAATAAAATTCCATAACGGTGTTCAGACTTAGAATTATGTAATTCATCTTGAATATCATGGCTAAATTCTAAAGAGAACTCGACACGGCCCCGAGGGGACGAAGTAGAGTTCAACTAAATAATCCAGTTATGATATTTAAGGAGTATGATTGCCGAATTCATATCCAAAGCCTTACCAAAAAAGGGTGTATCTCCCCAAAGGGAGATAACACCTTTCAATGATAATTCTTCTAATATGATGATGGCAATCATTCTTTAACTTTTACCAAAGAAATCTAAGGAGATTTTAAAAAAATTGATTTTGAAATCAGGTGTGTGTGTGGTTCCAAATCTCCTACGAGTGCAAGCCCTCGTAGTTAATTACATCGTGGGGAGATAGAGTCCCCTACGAAAACACTCGATTAAAATAAGAATGAAATTTTGTTAGATTTTCTAGGAGTAATATCAAAAAATTGAATGGAATCTTTTGGAAAATCAAAGGAGAGTGGATCAAAATTGAACAGTTATTAACAGAATCAAAGGAAGAGAGGTAGGGGACACTTTGAGATTCCAGAACCATCCGGAAGTGTCCCAACTTAATCTAAGTGTTGGGCTTTACATTTTAGGATTGAAAGGAGATTTTAATTGATGTTGAGCATTTTATTAGAAATTTGGGACTATATTCGCGAAATTTGGGGTCTTATAATCAAAGATCCGCCCCGGATCCTAAATCTAATTTGGACGCTGGACCATAGTCGTCCGAACCTAACTAATGATGTGC